CCCTCTTCTAAATGCTGGGTGAGCCCAGCTGAGCCTGCTCACCCACAGGGCTCCCCCTCCCCCGCCATCCAAGTGAGCCTGCTCCCCCCCCCCATCCCTCCACCCCCAATAGAAACAACCCCGGCTCAGTCTGGGCACCCTGCCGGAAAGGGGGACAAGAGGAGGAAGGAGAGCAGACTTACTCCCAAGGCGTCTAGGGCCCCTAAAACAGAGAAAGCTGCCTGCACCAGCATCTGGGAGTCGGTGCTAGAGTAGAGGGTTAACCCTGGAAGTTACAGGGAAGAGATAAAGCCCTACAGTGCGTGTCCTGTTTTCCTCTGGCTCTCCCTCTCCCTCCGAGACCCAGAATTCCCAGGCAGGGAGAAGACCTTTAGCTATCTGGTGCCTCCACCTCTCCTTACTTATCCTTCTCTCTCCATTCCAGTCTGTCTCCTCCACATTTCCTCCCTCTCTGTCGCCCTGTGTATCCATCTGCCCTTTTAATCTCTACCTTGCCCTGATTTCTCCACCTTGCTTTTACTCCCCCCCTTCTCTTTAATGATCCCTCCCTCCTGAAGCTGTGACTTCAGAAAATGACATGTTGACACATAAATCGGGATGCTCCATAGAAGATGGCTCTCTGCCAACCCTCTTCATGCACACCCTCAGCTGTGGGGAAGGAGAAGAAGGGTCCTTCACAGTCTTGGATGCACAGATTGGGGGGGGGGTGAATGGTATGGAGAGGGAGTCCCCCCAGAGATGCACTGACACAAAGAGATCTTGAGATGCCCTGAGAGCCAGGAATGAGGGGTACCTGAAGAGGGTGAAGGCCAGAGTCCTGGGCAAACACTGGGACAGGCAGCAACCTTGAACCTGCTGCTGCTGCTGCTGCTTCTGTTGGCAAATCAGCAACCAAAGCACATTTAATAAGACCCATATTCAAGTTGGAGGAGTGCTAATGAGGGGAGAGGGAAAAGGAGGGGGTATCATGGGAGGAGGAAGGGTGAACCCTTGAAGGATGGAGAAGGCAGTGACTTGGATGAGAAAGGGGGAGATGGGGTGATGGCAGAGCGAGATTTAAGAGAGAGGAAAGGGAAAGAAGAAAGGAGCAGAGAGAGGACATGGTGTGTGTGCGTGGGGAGGGGGGTGATCGGAGGAATATTTGGTTCCAAAAAGAAAGAAAACAGAGGGAGAAGGTGAAGGTCATAGGAGGGAGCAACATGAAGCATGGAGTGAAGGAGGGGTGTGTGGATGGGTACCCAGTCCTCAGCCCCTTCCCAACTTACTGCTAATTAACTCCTTAATTGTCTCTGCATTTGCTGAGCTGGCAGATGAAGTGGATGCAGACAGATTGGGGCACATGTGATTTCATGCGTGGGGAAGCGAGAAGCACTGCTTGGGAGTCCCAAGGGAACGTATCTCCTCTCCCCCCCTCCCCTCTCCACCCTCCTCTCCACCCATCTCTCAGAGGCTGGAGGGTGCTTCTGCACCTACAACAGATGGGGCCATCTGCAAGGGAAGCGTCCATGGAGAATTTGCCCCCGTCAGCCTTTTAGAGTCGACCATCCAGCTTACCAGTGTTAATGAAGTACCTACTATTTTACTAGGCCTGCATTGCTTTGTCAGCAGAGGCATCAGCTGCATCCTAGGGACATCTGGACAAGCTAAGTTCTCTGCCTAGGACCAGCATGGGTGTGACAGAAATCAGATTTGAACCCAGATCTGCATGATGTTAAAACTCTGGAATGGTTCCTGGTCAGAGGCTTCTCTCCAATGGACTGAGGAGAGAGGCCTCCCCAGGCATGTTTTCCTCTTAAGTCCCAGGGAGAAAAAAAGGATCTGAGACCTACGAACTGCAGAGGTCAGAGACTGGATGAAGCTGGGAGGATACTAGAGGGGCCAGGATGTGTCAGGGTCTGGACAAGAGGTGGGTGGACCTAGAGAAGCAGAAAGAAGCAGTAGGACACTAATCATAGTCCTTAAATCCCTCATGTGGCATCTTACAAAGGCCTTGGCAATGCTGACTTCCTCTTTTCTTCATCCCTGCCCCACAAACACCCGTCAGGATGCTCCCTCTGCTGCTACTCTGTTCTGGCTCACCCCTCTACTTCATTCTAGGCCTTTGTTCTAGAATCACTTGTCCACATGTTTATCTCTGTCTTGCTACTGGGAGGCTTTTGAGGGAAGGCATTCTGTTACCCTTCATCTTGTTCCCCAGGGCCCATCCTGGGATTCAATACAGGGAAAATGTTAATGAAGGTATTGTGCAATGGACAGGACAGGGAGAGGATGATGTGTGTGGTCAGATACCCATCTCATCTGAAATGAAGAGGAAATAACAGCATAAAGGATTTAGACTGAGTATACAAAAGAACTTCCTAAAACTGGCACCGGTGATACTATAAAGTCTTGATTCACACCCACACATCATAGAGAGCAAGTTTTCTCAAGATTGGCTGTGTGTTAGAGGTCTTAGAAACCTGAAAGATTGGGGCTGGGAAGGTGGCTCAGTGGTAGAGCGCTTGCCTTGCACTCATGAGGCCCTGGGTTCGATTCCTCAGCACCACATAAGCAAAAAGAAAAAAGCCGGAAGTGGCGCTGTGGCTCAAGTGGTAGAGCATTAGCCTTGAGCTGAAGAGCTGAGGGACAGCGCCCAGGCCCAGAGTTCAGGCCCCACTACTGGACCCAAAAAAAAAAAAAGAAACCTGAAAGATTCCCAAATCAGGCACTGGTGGCTCCCACCTGTAATTGTAGTTATGCAGGAGGCTAAGATCTGGAGTGTGGTGATTTGAGGGCAGTTCAAGCAGAAAAGTCTACAGGACACCTTCTACAAAATAACCAGCAAAACGCAGGGCTGGAGGCATGGCTCAAGTAGTAGAGTAAGCCAACCAGCCAAGCAAGCAGAAAAGTTAGGAGATCTATATTCCACCCCTAGAGATTCTGAGTTAATTGATGTGAGGTGGCACCATTGCATCAGTGTTTAGTCTGTCTTGCTGTGGTTGCACTGGTGGTTTTACAACTGCATCCTAATGCTAATGCTAATAATATTCATTATTTACTTATTGAGGATTAACCAAATACAAGCCAAGTACTGAGTATAAGCTTAGTACTAAAAGCTAAGCATTTTCATGCATTATCACGTGTAATCCTCAAAAAAAAAAAAACCTTGTGAAATAAATATTATTTACATCTTATAGATGAGGAAATGGGAGCTCAGAGAGGTCAAGGGACCTGCCCATACTAATAAATGGTAAGACCAGGTTTGGGAAGAACTGAGATCACTTGCTTCACGCCTTTTGTCTTCCCCCAGACTCTTCCTGAGGCTGTTCATTGGCCTCAATCAGTCCTCGCCTACCTCCATCTCACCTCATCACCCTCCCTCCACCCCCGCTGCTCCCTCTGTCTCTCGGTAACATCCCAGGTGATTGAAGCAATTTGCAGCCATTAGAAGAGACTCCATGTGTCACTCAGCCTGTGAAGGTGGGAAGGTGGGGAAATCACAGAAGCTCTAAAGTAGTCTCTCCCCTCCCTGCCCCCCTCCCGCCCTGCTCCCGAGGACATTTGGTATTCAGGAATCAGACTAGGTCCAATGGCTCCTCTGGTCCCCTTTTTGAGACCCTCTCAGGTGAATTCCCACTGCCAAATGCCCCTTTGAGTATAGTCTAAGTATCTGGGAGAGTGCTGCCACCCAGTGGCTGCCCAAAGACATGGCAGCCCACCGACCCCTCCTGATGCTGCTGGACAGCTCCCCCGACCAAGATCTGAATGGAAAACGGTTTTTTCATGGCAGGTGAGCGTACCCTGGGTCTTAGCGGATGGATCTACAGTCATACTCGTACTAGGGACCTCCAGTTTCCATCATGGGTTCCATCTTGGGTTCCTCGTGTACCCTCACAACTTCCCATCCAACTTCTTTCCCACTGTGTCATCCCCTCCTCCTTACTTGGTCCTTCCAACTTAAAAAACAAACACAATATAAAACAAAACAAAAAAAGCACCACGTCCAGTAGGTTCCCTTCGCATCTTTCTTTCCCCAGAGCTGCACCGTCCTGGAAGTGGAACAAATGAGACACTAGAGAGAATTCTGGTCGCCGCACCCGCCTCCTTCTCATCTGACACCATCAGACCTCAACAGCCTCGGTGCTAAGAGCCCCTAATGAGCATCAGCAAATTAACAGCTTCTCCTTGATTGCTCCTTCTCTGTTAATTGGATAGGGAGGGCCCCCCAAGGCCACTCAGAAAGGAGAAGGAAGGGAGGGAAGGGGAGAGGTGAGAGCTACAAGGAAACAGCCCCCAGGCCTGGATTCAACCCCTGGACTTCTGCTTCATTTCTGAATATTATCTCCCCTTTCTGGCCCTTCCTCATCCTGAGCCCTTTATTTCCTTTCCCCTTTTCTTATTCTTAACCAAATCCCCCTGGCGTCTGGCCTTTACTCCTTCCTCCTCTCTGTTCCTTTAGAGATTTGGCAATGAGGAACTTCAAACACGCCCCACTACCACGAAGACAAGCTGAGTGATGGAAGATGGGGGTATAGATGTCAAGGCTGTGTGTTTGTTTATATATGTGCGTGCGTGTGTGCTTGGTGTGCAGGAGGGATAAGAACAGGAGAAGACCTGTCTGGTCTTCCGGCGAGGGCTCGGTGTGTTGTTGTGGGCCAGGTCTCTGGGCTGGGAGGGCGTTTGTGGTGTGTATGTCTGTGAATGGCATGGTACGACTCCAATCTCTATGTGTCTGAATCTCCATACAGGCAAGTGCTTGAAATCAGTCAAGTGTGACTTGGAGCTTGTGTGTGCCCGTGTGTGTGTGTGCGTGTGTGCGTGTGTGTGCGCGCGCGCGCGCGCAAGTGTGCCACCAGAGGAAGCAGCAGCAAGAGGCAGGAGCATCGATCCGAAGGAGACAGCGCGGGGAGGGGGACGCTGGGGGCAGACACCCTCCTTCCTGCGCGCACCCCCGCGCGCGCGCACACCCCCCACACACTGTCACACACACACACACACACACACACAGAGGCACACACGAGCACACATACAAGCCATTGGGCCACACAGGCAGTGGGGAGACGGGCTCCGGAACCCGAGCGAGGCAGCGCTGCCGAGAGCGGCTGGGAAGAGGGGGAGAGCCAGCGGGGAGGGGAGCCCTGGGTTCCGCTCCCGGGGCCGGGGACCCCGCGCGCACACCGGGCCCGGAGACACCCTCGCAGACACTCGTAGGCGCGCACGCGCACCCTCTCCTCTCCTCCTCCCCTCCTGCCGCCACCCGGCCGGACGATGGATCCCTGCAGATCCCGGGGCTGAAGGCACCGAGCACCGCGCACCGCGCACGGAGCCCCGGGCGGACGAGCCGAGCCGAGCCAGCGAGCGCGCGCAGGCGGGCGGGCGGGCGGCGGAGCGAGCCGAGGCGGGCCGGGCCGGGCCGGCCGCTCCCTGCAGGGCTCTGCGCGGCGTGTGCCGCGGCGGCCGCGGGCTCCGGCTTCGGGCCATGAGCCCCTCCGCGGCTCGGCGCTGAGCCCACGAACGGCCCCGCGCCCCACGACCTGCTACCGGCTGCCTGCTTCCCGAAGCCCCCCTCAGGTGGGTTTCTCCCGATCGCATCGCTTTTCGCTCGCGGGGCTTCTCCGCGCCCCCCCACCCCACCCCGAAGCCGGGGACTCTTCTTCGCTCCTTAGCTCTCCCCAGCTGCTGGGGAGGCTTGGTGGCTGGGGGGGGGGGGGCGGGGGCCGAGCCGGGGATCGGACTGCGACGAGAAGCTGGACTGGGGGGGGGGGCCTTGGGGCGGGGACAAGTGGCTGTCATAGGGAACCGCGCCCCCCCTCCATACATCCACCTCAGGCAATCCTCCACCCCACCCCCAAACACACACACACACACACACACACACACACACACACACACACACACAGCCTGCGCCTATGTAAGAACTCAGACACCGCAGGTGAGGACTCAGGCTAGTCCCCTCCCCAGCCGTACCCACCCCCCCACACCCCCCCGAGGATTTTCTGGACCAGGTTTAACTCCTGGGGTGACAGTCTAGTCCTGGAGGAAGCAGAAGAGGAGCTTCTGACCCCAGGCTCAGCCCATCTGGGGGAGTTTTGGCTCCATGAATAGGGTAGACAGTCCTGTCCCAGAGTGACCCCACATCTGGAAGGAACTCCTGTGCCTGCCTGTGGGAAAATGGGGAATTCCCTCTCTCCCTTGAGCAACTGTATCTGGGGTCTCCCCTGGTCTGGAAGCTTCCCTGGCAGAGCATTCTCTTGGCCTGAGCTGACCTCCCCCCAAGCCCAGCCTCTGTATTAGGAGGAGCCCTGTCCGGGATGTGCCCCCCCTTGCCCAGACACCTCTGTACTTGCACAACAGAAGAGTCTAATACACTAAGAGCAAGACCTCTGGAGATAGGGATTCTAGAAGGATGGCATTAGAGCAGCCCATGTGTACTCTTATCCCAGGATGATGATAGACTTCTCTCTTCCTTCCTCCCTCCAGGATCCCCTCGGCAAGGATGGAACTGAAGGCCGAGGAGGAGGAAGTGGGTGGTGTCCAGCCCGTGAGCATCCAGGCCTTTGCCAGCAGCTCTACCCTGCACGGCCTGGCCCACATCTTCTCCTATGAGAGGCTGTCTCTGAAGCGGGCCCTGTGGGCCCTGTGCTTTCTGGGCTCGCTGGCCGTGCTGCTGTGTGTGTGTACCGAGCGTGTGCAATACTACTTCCACTACCATCATGTCACCAAGCTCGATGAAGTGGCTGCCTCCCAGCTCACCTTCCCTGCCGTCACGCTGTGCAACCTCAATGAGTTCCGCTTTAGCCAAGTCTCCAAGAATGACCTGTACCATGCTGGTGAACTGCTGGCCCTGCTGAACAACAGGTGGGCGACTCTCACCTCCCCCCTCGGTCTAGCTTATTGGGGTGCCAGTCAGGTTGCTTACTTTCTTACCTTACCAAGAGCCAGCCAACTTTTCCCTCTTGCTACCACTTCCCCACTTTCCTCCCTTCCACATACCATAAAGGAGCTGGGGTACTGCTAAAGCACCCAATTAAGGACACCCAATCTCTATTCCAATATAATCCAAAACAGCTCTACCCCCACCTGCCCAGCCTGAGCTGTGAGTGAGATGTCAGCACCCAGTCTTAGTTAACTTTGCCCTCCTTCCTGCCTTGTCTTCCTCACTTAGAAATGGGAAAGACCACCTTCAACTGGCAGAGACTATATCACAAATGCTATAACTCCTGCTGCTTCCCTGCTTCATCTTACTTTGTTTTGTGTGCTTATTTGCTTTGTGCCTTTGTGCTGGTCCTGGTGCTTGAACTCAGGGTCTTGGAGCTGTCTCTTGGCTCTTATGCTTAAGGCTAGCACCCTACCACTTGAGCCAGAGCTCACTTGGCTTTGTGCTGGTTAATTAGAGACAAATGTCTCTTGAACTTTCCTGCACAGGCTGGCTTTGAACCACAATTTTCATATCCCAGCGTCCTGAGTAGCTAGGATTACAGGCATAAGCCACTGGTGCCTGACAATGCATCTCAATCTTGTGCTAAGAGGCCCAGCTTTTGAGCAGCCACCGTAAGTCCTCTGACTCCGTGTGGAATATCCTCTGGACATGCACAGCTCTTCTTCCTTGCATGTCTGTGCCCAGATCTGCCCCCAACCCAGGACTAGATGTTGCCCCACCCCAAGTATAAGATGGGCTCTGGTGGTCATGTTCATCCATGTGGTATTTCCCACCCTATTCCTGGCTCCAGGTATGAGATACCTGACACACAGATGGCTGATGAAAAGCAGCTGGAGATATTGCAGGACAAGGCCAACTTCCGCAGCTTCAAACCCAAGCCTTTCAACATGCGTGAGTTCTATGACCGAGCTGGTCATGACATTCGTGACATGCTGCTCTCCTGCCATTTCCGAGGGGAGGTCTGCAGCGCTGAAGACTTCAAGGTGGTGAGTGATTCCCTGATGCAGTGGGAGTGTCAGCCTGGCCCTCAGAGGAGGAAACCAGGTTTCTCACAAGGCTTGCTGTTTGGGAAGAGGCAATTGTATGTCTTCAGCTTTGCTTTTGACAGGAGAGGACTGTGCTCAGCACTTGGTATATTTGCTCTGTGTGAGACCTGAGCTTCAGCCTTGCCTCCATGATGGTGCCCACCACAACACACACTTGCAGACACTCCCATACACATACACTCATGTAGCCTGGTCTGCCCCCAGTGTTACTTTCTGGGTCACAGGTATCACAATTAAGAGTGGTGGTTATTACTCAAAGTTAATTTGGGAACTGTCACCTGGGAGCTTGAAAGGAATGCAATCTTGACAGGAGCCAGTGACATATGCCTATAGGCCTAGCTACTCGAGAGGCTGAGATCTGAGGATTGAGGTTCAAAGCCAGCCGAGACAGGAAAGTCCATGAGACTCTTATCTCCAATTAATCACCAAAAAGCTAGACGTGAAGCTGTGGCTCAAGTTGTAGAGTGCTAGCCTTAAGCAAAAAAAAGCTAGGGTCAGTTTCTAGGCCCTGAGTTCAAGCCCAGAACTAGCAACAAAAAGAGAGAGACAGACAGACAGATAGATAGAGAGAAAGAGAAGGAAGGAAAGAAAGAAAAAGAGTGGAAGAAAGGAAGAGAGTGAGAGAAAGAAAGAAAGGAAGGAAGGCAGGCCTTTGTACCCCACCTCATTTCCCAGACCTACTGAATCAGAATTTGCATTCTGACAAGATCCCTGTTCGAGAGCTGGAGAGCAACTCAAGTAGTAGAGTACTTGTCTAGCAAATACACCGAGTTAAAACCTCATTATTGCTCCCTTCCCCATACACCCCATACACACCACACACACACACACACACACTTAAAAGTTTGAGAAGCACCACAAAGCACAGAGGGTAAGCAAACTTTTCTCTTAAATAGCCAGCCAAGTAGTTGGGCATATGGGCACATGCCTGTAATCCTGGCATTCAAGGGGCTGAGGCAGGAGGACTGTGAATTCCAGAACAGCCTAGGCTATAGGTGAAACCCTGTCATGCAACAGGCAAACAGGTTATTTTTCCTTCTGTGGTACCCTCCCTGCCTATGCATACTAGCAGGCACATGTACACACACACACACACACACACACACATACACACGTTTGTTTAGGTTCTCCCCCTACCAGCAAGAGCCACAGAGGCAGGGTTGGAGGGGCTCAGAATGTACAGTCCTGGCTAAACTCGAGGCTCCCTTTGCTTGTAAAAATGGAGATGTCCCTTTCCAACTGGCACTATACTCCATAGACGTGGTGGCCTCAGGCCAGCCTGAGGAACTGACTTCCACATCTGACCTGCTAGGTAGCCCTAGGCAAGTCACACAGATTATTCAAGGTTAAGAGACTCACCAAGCTGGTTGTTGTGAAGCATGCCTATAATCGCAGCACTCAGGAGGCTGAGGCAGGATGGTGAGTTTAAGGCCAGTGTGAACTACATAGAAAGACCTTGTCAAACAACAAGAAAAAAAAAAAACAACAACCAGAAAGAGATCAAAAGACCTACAGCCATATATGAATGGGTGAAAGATGCTTATTAATGCTTCCTAGTGTTTGCCAGGCTCTCTGTATCCCTTTGATAGATAGCCATATTAGCTCTATTCTGCAAATGCACAGACCGAGACACAAAGAGGTAGAATAATTTGCTGCAGTCCACTGCCTGGTTAATGATAGAATCAGGATTAGAACTCATGTTTCCTTAAATCCCAATGAAGTATACTCCCTAGAGTTCCTCTGTGCACTTCCACCTTTTTTTTTTTTTTTTGGTAGTACCAGTACTGTGGCTCGAACTCAGGGCCTGGACGCTATCCTTTAGCTTTTTCACTCAAGACTGGCCCTCTACCGCTTAAGCCACAGCTCCATTTTGGCTTTTTAGTGATTAATGATTAAAAAAAAAGTCTCAGATTTTCCTGCCCAGGTTGGCTTGAACCTCTGATCTCATCCTCTTGAGTAGCTAGGATTATAGGTATGAGCCACCAGTACCTAGCAACTTTTTCTTTCCAAAGCTTGGGTCCCCAAACATCCCTGGGGTGCTTACTACCAACTTCCCCACCTTTGAGCTTCCTTTTTCTCCCTGTCCATTTTCTCTCCCACTGGCTGGCTTCCTCCTAGCATGAACTACCATTGTTTGTATAGAAAGACTAAAGCCATGGTCATGTTACTGTTTACAGCTGAGGTTATACAAGACTTCCCCTATTTAAGCCCTGCTCCACAGACAGATTTCACAGGCCTTTGTCAATCCTGCTAGACAAAGTTTGTATGATCTGAATGATCAACAGCTTGCTGAGCTTGGCTGACAGAGAGCTTAAGATAGATGCAACAACCATTTCCTTCTCTTTTCTTTCTTCACTACAGGAAAGGCTTAGATTTCCCAGAGATTGAGACCAGGGAGTCGCCAAGCTCATAAACTATGTTCCTAAGAAAAATAAAATTGTAGGTGAAGGTAGGCAGCAAAAGCCAAACCCACAAGCAGAAGTAACCAACAGGAAGAAAAGAGAACATACTAACTTTTTTTTTTTTTTGGGGGGGGGGGGGGGGTCCGGTCGTGGGGCCTGAAATCTGGGCCTGGGCGCTGTCCCTCAGCTCTTCAGCTCAAGGCTAGCGCTCTACCACTTGAGCCACAGCACCACTTCTGGCTTTTTTTTTCCTGCTTATGTGGTGCTGAGGAATCGAACCCAAGGCCTCATGCATGCAAGGTAAGCGCTCTACCACCGAGCCACCTTCCCAGCCCAGAACATACTAACTTTGATGGCTTGTGTTGCTAGATGAAAACAGGAAGTGCTTGGCTTAACCTGGAAAGTATAAAGTTGGGATATAATAAGCCCACTGAAAGTGTTCAGTTGAGGGCTGGGAAGGTGGCTCAGTGATAGAAGGCTTGCCTTGCATACATGAGGCCCTGGGTTCGATTCCTCAGCACCACATAAGCAGAAAAGAAAAAAAAGCTGTAAATGGCACTGTGGCTCAAGTGGTAGAGCACTCGCCTTGAGCTGAAGAGCTGAGGGACAGTGCCTAGGCCCAGAGTTCAGGCCCCACGACCGGACCCTCCCCAAAAAAAAGAAAAGAAAAGAAAGTGTTCAGTTGAATCTTTCCATCATTTCCAGAAAGACTTTAAATGGTGATGTTAAGACATGTTCAACTGGGCACCAGTGGCTCATGTCTGTAATCCTAGCTACTCAGGAGACTGAGATCTGAGGATCGCAGTTCAAAGCCAGCCCTGGCAGAAAAGACCCTGTGAGATTCTTTATCTCCAATTAACCACTCAAAAACCCAAAGTGGTGTTGTTGCTCAAAATGGTAGAGCACTAGCCTTGAGCAAAAGAGCTCTAAGACAGCACCCGGGCCCTGAGTTCAAGCCCGGCAAACAACAACAACAAAATGACATGTTCAAAGTTAGGCACTGGTGACTCATACCTATAATCCTCGCTACTCAAGACACAGATCTGAGGATCAAGGTTCAAAGTCAATCTGGGTAGGAAAGTCCATGAGATTCTTAACTCCAATTAACTACTAAGAAGCCAGAAATGGAGCTGTGGCTCAAGTGGTAGAGGAACAATCTAAAGCAAAATTGCTAAGGAAGAGCACAAGGAAGCCGGGTGCTGGTGGCTCACACCTGTAATCCTAGCTACTCAGGAGGATGAGATCTGAGGATCGAGGTTCAAAGCCAGCCCGGGCAGGAGACACCGTGAGACTCCTATCTCCAATAAACCACCAGAAAACCGGAAGTGGCGCTGTAGCTCAAGTGGTAGAGCGCTCACCTTGAGCTGAAGAGCTGAGGGACAGCACCCAGGCCCAGAGTTCAAGCCCCACGACCGACAAAAAAAAAAAAGAGCACAAGGCCCTGAGTTCAAGCCCTAGTACCAGCACAAAACCAAAAACATGTTTGGTTTAAAATATGACTGACCCATGTTATCTGAGTGGACAATTTCTAAGCTGTCATGTGAGGTGCGATTGGCTCATAGCATTCTGGAGCAATTTCAATGTGAGAACAGATACACAGGCTAACACTGTCCAGGCCCCGATGTAACATTTCTCAGTGCAGGAAAAGACCATAGCTTTCTGTGTCTTCATGTCAAAGATTTGATCCTTTATGGCTGCTGTGGGTGGGTTGACCTCCCTGCCAGGCTTTTTTTTTTTTTTTGCCAGTCCTAGGGCTTGAACTCAGGGCCTGGGCACTGTCCCTGAGCCTCTCTATGCTCAAGGCTAGCATTCTACCACTTGAGCCCCAGTGCCACTTCCGGCTTTTTCTGTTTATATGGTACCGAGAAATCGAACCCAGGGCTTCATGCATGCTAGGCAAGCACTCTACCACTAAGCCACATTCCCAGCCTTTACCAGCCTCGTTCTATGTTAAGAGCTTTACCACTTCTACCTGTGGGGTTGCCCCTGAACTGATGAGAGTCAAGTTGTGATTCACTGTCTGTTATCTTCTTGGTGGAGAATGGTCTAGCAAGGCCCTAGAGGACTCATAGATACTTTGCCTGGTATTCTACCCTTTCATCTCTTCTTGGTCTCATAATGAACATCAATCTCTCCATCCTTCTTATTCTCTGCTAGGCCCAGAGGTGTATTGGGGATGTGGATCATTGAACAAATGTAGCACTAACAGAAAACAGCTGTCTACACAGTGAAGGCTTAGGCAAGATCAACTTGGCTTTTCTTTCTTCCTTTCTTTTCCTTTTTCCTTCCTTTCTCGCTTTCATTTTTCTTTCCTTCCTTTCTTCCTCTTCCTCTTTCTTTTTCTTCTTTTTTTGTCACTTGGGATTGAACTCTGGGCAGGGGCACTGTCCCTCAGCTCTTCAGCTCAAGGCTAGCACTCTACTACTTGAGCCATAGCTCCACTTCCAGTTTTCTGGTGGTTTATTGGAGATAAGAGTCTCATGGACTTTCTTGCCCGAGTTGGCTTTGAACTGTGATCCTTAGATCTCAGCCTCTTTA